TAGGAAAAAGCTCCCCTGTGATGAGACACCAAAAGGATTTGACATTTCTCATAGGAAGCTAAAAAACAAGAAAGCAACTGTTAAACTACACAAATACAATAAGCCTGTGTCACCCTAACACAAAACCACAAAAACATCAGATAGAAGAGAAGATGTGTCTAAACATTGAAAACCAATTTAAAAGAAACATCTTTTGTCTGAGTTAAAAATATTAGAAGCATCCTAAATGGGACTGGATATATTTACAGAAATATAAAACTAATTACTTAAAATAATTGGTAAAAATCTGAGAACGTAGGGCAGAAGAGTACCAAGAATGTAGTCAAACCATTGCAGATGGTCTGCTGCTATCACGAGTGATTGCACTACATCTCTTTCATGACATTAACAAGTTAATGTTTCTTCTGATACCTCAGGCCATTCCTGAGGTAAGAATTCAGACCACAGCTTATATGAATGATAAATGTATTAGTTATAGAATAATTACTACTGACAAAGCTGTGAAAAAATAAAACTCATGAAGTTGAGTGCATGCCAATAACTTTTTGGAAGAACTACTATTCATTTATCTACTGTAGGATTTTTGCGAATTCCTAAGCACCTCATCCTAACTTTTCCTGGAAGCTACATACCAGACTAGAGCCGTGATATAATCCATATTGCAATCCTTATGTTCCTGGTACTTCTAAGAAGAGATCCTTCACACAGGTAAAGAATATACTTCAGAAGTCAGTCTTAACACTTGCTATAGTGGAGTTAGAAACAGCCTAAGTGGACAAAGCAACCTAAATTATATGAAAGTCTTCCCCTGTAAAAGATTACCTCAACAACTTAAAAATTAAAATACTGTTTAAGGTGTTCTATTCTGAAAAAATCTCTAGTTGAACATTGAGGCTCTAGTTGAATATTGAGGGAGTTCATATTTACTATTTCTCAAGAAATTCTGTAAGTGTGCTCAATTTGAAATTAAATGTATTTATCACTTGGTTTGACAGGTCTGCAGCTCGACCTTGACTTTTATCAAAAGCTATTATTTCTGCTCTATGCATCACCACTCTAAAGAAGTTCTCAAAGTGGATCTCAGTCAAAAGTTCTGTAGAAGACATGAGACAGAAAACAAGATGATTTACTCCTCCTTTCCTAAAGAGTTTCTGTGGAACTCCGAGTAGCAGGAAACAATAAAAACAAATCATTATTAATAACTACTACCAAGAGAATACACTGAACATGCCAAATAAAACCTTGGTAAGTAAAGCTGTACCACTTCTACAATTATACCATAATTCTATATGCACAATAATTAATGGCAACACTAAACTGTTGCATCAAATATTTTTAAAAGAACCTCCCTACTACAAGAAGAGTTTTCCCCTCTTGCTACATGCTTTCATCATGAACTTCTCTTATCCACCCTTGACTTTTTCCCCAAATTATCCTCTATTTGGGGCAGGGGAAATAATCTTCTCCCCTCAAATCCTACTCAACTCAGTCTGTACTTCCACACACTTTTTGTCCCATCCAACTGCTGTTATCATCAGAGCTCATATCCAGCTGTCAGTTCTGCCTTGCACTAACACTGTTCTGAATGATAACAAATATCTTGCTACCAATGCAGTATTTCTTTCTCACTAATTTTATTTTTAAAAGTATGTGTCATTTTTACCGGTTAATGATCACATGCAACATACTCAGGGTTCCACACATTTAGGAGAGCAGCTGCTTGTACATTTTTACCATCTAAAATCCTAATAAGAAAAGAAAAGGTGGTCTAGATTTTTTTCCCCATCAGCTGTGTGATGGGTAGGAACAGATGATCACTCCCCTCTTCAGCTTTTCTCTGACGCCATAGCTCTCCGCTTCCTCCTCTCACCA